AACCCTAAACCCCAAAGAAGCACCGGGGCTCTGGAAAACAACATCCACGCAGTTGTTGCGATCCTCCGGATTTTGGTTCGTCCTTGGGCGATGGAGACAATTTTCTTCAGGATTCTCTAGAGTAGAAACTAGCTTAGGCCCTATGTACCTTATTTTGGGGTCCTTATAATAAGGATCCTACTATTTTAGGGTACCATATTAGGGCCCCCGATTTTCGGGTTCACGGTTTAGGGTTTTGGGTTTAGGGGTTTAGGGTTCAGGGTTTGGGGGGGGTTAAGGGGTTTAGGTATTCTTATTCTGTGTAAGTCTTATAAGAATGGTATAGCTGGTTGAGCCCTTTCTGCATAAGGACATCTGACGTACTTACACTCAAAAAGACCGTCTCTCTCTCTCTCTCTTTGCTTTGCTTTGCTTTGCTTTGCTAGGGGTTAGAGTCAGGAGGAGTTACCTCCTAACTCGCGCCGAGGCGCATCCCCATCCATCATTTTGATAGATGGGCTCAGCTGTACTGTTGTGGGGAGGTCTGTGTGCCTCGTCCGGTTTGAAAGCCTCCGTGGGGGCAATGCACTCTCTCTCTCTCTCTCACTCCATTTCCATATCTATATAGATGTGCATGTACATACACCTATGTGTGTATACCCATGTATAATCGCAGAGGCAGAACAACACACGCAACCACAACTTCATATGCCTGAATAAACCGATGCACACACACAAACAGTGCGTTAGCACTTCAATCTATCTGGATGTATACGTATATACTTATATATATATATATATGTATGTATGTATGTATGTATGTATGTATGTATGCACAACCACCGAACACAGAATGAGTTCGCTTCCATGTACATATACATATAATATATACATATATATATATATGTATGTATATATGTATATATGTATATATGTATGTATATGTATATGTATATAAATGTATATAGAGACCTGTGTATGTAAGTACATATGTATACACGTGGTGGCTGCTTAATCCCTGGAAGCGGCTTCAAGCACAGTAACCCTGCCCCGTCCCGAGGCCCCCTCTAGGCAGTCCCCAAACGACACTTGCTTCATGCAATGCCAGGCGGGTAGTTCCCGTTTTTAAGTCCCCAATATAGTACGGCACCCTTAAGAAGGGACCCCCAAAACAGACACGAATTTAGAGAACTACCCATGAGACTGAACGAATCCATGTTTGGCCGGACGACGCAGCCTGGTGTTTTTCATACCCATGCCAGGCCTTAACAAGTTAGTCTGCTTAGAATGCACAAGGAGTAGACTTAAGGTTGTCGGCAACATGTGTAAAGTAGTCCTCACCAGAAGAAGTCAAGCTGCAAGGAAGCATGCCTCTGCCACTTGTCGTGTCACTTTTGCTTCTCGCAACTTAACAAGTATAAAAATACTCCCATATGCTGATGTGTAGCAAGCGCCTGGAACGGCATCGTAACGAATTTCTGAATCGTTCATGAAGTTTCTTGGATTCCGTGAGTACCTCCCCAGTTCAGTACGCAAAAACAAGCTGGCTTAGAACAGCTGACAGTGCAGCTAAGCTGCAGGGTCCACAGGGTGCGTCCCGGCGGCAGACAGGCTTGCCGATGTGGGCCGGAGTCCTCGACGGAGGGAGGCGAGTCACTAAGTTTAAATTCAACAGCCCCTACATGCACAAGCGCTCGGCAAAGAGGAACACACACCTCCGTCTTCCCATAGGCCCCATAGTAGTTCCTTCTGGGGGCTCATATCTAGAACCCTATGATGTAATCCCAAAAAGGAACTACTATGGGGCCCATGGGTAGGCTTCTCGATTTCAGCGAAGGGCGCGATAAGCTTTGGAACTCGAACTCAGGGTTCAAATGATCCCGAAACCCGCAAGAGTCGACTCTGTTTTTCAAGATTGAAACCAAGCTTAAACCGTAAATCCTACACTCTTAAAATGAACCATTAAAGGGTACATATTCATAAACCCGAAACCGTCAACTTCAGGTTTCTCTGGGTTTCAGGGTGCCTGAGGCGGGTGCGGCTGGAGCACGGCTACTGTGGTAACATCGCGACCTTGATAATTAATAAACCGTCAACCGAAACCTTAACCCGCCCCTTCAAAAAACACCTTCCTTTCTTGGGTTCCTGAGTCTGATTTCCGGCAGGCTTTTTGGCATAAGATAGGGGCCTTAAGCGTTGGAACAGGGCTGTGGGGTACATTATTCTATGATTGGAATAAGGAAACCTATAATGGATAGTTCTCCAAATTAGGGTCCCTTTTGGGTCCCTTTGATAAGCTTGCCGTACTATAGTGGGACCTAGAAGGGAACCCTCATTTAGAGAACTACCCATTTCACCAACCCTAAACCCTAAACCCTAAACCCTAAACCCTAAACCCTAAACCCCCCAAACCCAAAAGCAAGCCCGAAAGTTGTGAGCTCCTCACCGCTGCCTTGACGCAGCTCACCGAGGCCTCCCGAAGAACAGTTCAGGCTATGGGGTTTTTGATGTAACAACGGAGTTTTAGGGTTTAGGGTTTAGGGGTTTAGGGGTTTAGGGGTTGAGGGTTTAGGGTTTGGGGTTAACTGACTGTTATCTTAGGATCATACAAGGTTATCCCCCCAAAAAAAAGACTATAGGTAGGTCTGTTCAGGAGTTTAAAGTTGTTGGGTCTAGGATGTTTGGCGTTTTAAGCTTTAAGGTGAAAGAGTTTATAAGGGGGTAGAGTTGATCGGCGTTTGGAGTTCGGGCCGTAGGGTTCGGGGGCCTTAGGGGTAGAAAGCTGGCTTTTCAAGCAGCGCTGATATTGAACTTGTTTGTGCTGAAGGACAAATGTAGACTTTTGCGGGGTTCCGGAACCCTCAACCCTAAACCCATTTGAGCAAAACCCCTATAAACCCTCAGCCCTAAAAACCCTTTTTGCCGCTGACCTCAAGTCTAGCCAGACTTCGACCTGCAATCATCTTGACTGAACATGAATCCTGTTCAGGGTTTAGGGCTTCGGGTTTAAGGTTTCTACCTATAGTCTCCATTGTGGTTCCTTTGTTTGGTTTAACGAATTATATATGATTTTATAAGGTATCCCCAAAAAGGAACTACAATGGAGACTGTAGGTAAACCCTACACCGCTTCGGCAAGGTTTGGGTTCAGTACCGCAAGGATCAAAGAACGCCAGCCACGGCCTGGAGGTAACAGAGGGCTTTAGGGTTTAGGGTGTAGGGATTCGGGGGGGTTTTTCAATCGGGTGTTGGGTACATTACGGGGTCTAGGGTTTACGGTTTCGGGGGTCACTGTACTAGAACTTAGCTGTGGGGTTTAGGTTTGAGTGTTTCTACTTTTCAATAGACAACACTTAGTTTCACATAACGTAGTAAAACAGTGTACTGTAGTGTAGATTAAATGTTTCAGTCTGATATGACACAACATACCATCTGATACTGCATCCTCTTTCCCAGAACGTCCAAGCTCTGCGAATGCACTTAGCAAGAACACGTGCAAATCCAGAATGTAAACTTCAATGTGAGCCTCAACGAGCCTGATAGCTTTAGGTTTAGGGGTTGAGGGTTACAAGCCTCTAGCACCGAGCCTGTTCATGCTGGTTTCGCTCCATTGCCCAGGGCTCCATCCGTTCTCCTAAACCAACACACAACCGCCCTGCACCCTCCGTCCGAATGTACTCAACCAGGCACCAGACAACTCAAGTAAGTTCGACCCCCTGCTGGCCCTAAAGCTTATGAGTCTGAAGCCTCCGAGCCCTCACCCGCACACTTCGCCACCTCCTTGAAGATCCTACACCCTACAACCGTCATCCATAAACTCCGACTTCCCGCGGGCACTTAAATTTCCAAAGCCGAAGCCCGAACGTCCTCACGGATATACCCCCCCAGACCCCCAAAAGGATCTAAAAAATAGATCCCCTAAAGGGGTTCCTACAAAGTACCCTTTAGTAGTTAGGGTCCCTAATTACAGGGGATCTATTTTTTAGATCCTTTTGAAGG